AAGTTGGTCTATTTCCTTACTACCCTAATTATTTCCCACTCCATACCCAGTAGTAAGCATGTTAGCTAGCAGGTGACATGTATTTAATTAATATGCAGGGAGGATAGAAATCGTGATGAGGTCCTTTTGTTACATACTTTCCCCAGGGTTGTCATAAATCTTTATAGTGCACAATTGTGTAACAACACCTCAGTCTCATATATGTCAGCATCAATTACTTCAAACGCTTTATCCAAACAACTCCCCAGCACAGCTGTGAGACAGAACACTGGCCTGCTCTGAAGAAGAAAGACAGCCTCTTGGTAAATTTAAGCTGCCGAGGAGTGCTGCTTCCTCAGCTATATTCCTCAGTTGCTCGTAACTGAAAATTTTCCTAAAATTCTGAAGCCAATTTAAGGAGAGTTTTGTGGGTGTATAGGGTCCTCAATCTCTTTGGGGCCAAATGGCTTTCAGAAAACGGAACTTTTTCAAATTTTAGGAAGGTAAGATGGTTGACGGAGCCCTGGGGGCAGGGCAGGCGGGCGGCTACCTACCAGTTGCCCTACAGGAGAAAGAATGGCTGCCTGGTCCCATATAGCGTTGAGTCCTAGGAACAAGTCCCAGAGGGGCAGGGCAACTGCTCTGCAGGGTGGCTGTGAGCTGGAACGGGCTCGGTGGCAATGCACTTGGTGAGTTGACATGGTTAATATGGTTAATACACCATAAAGCTTACTTTCTCCAGCCAAGTCCACAGAAGCATCCAATCATCCAGCATGCTACACTTCTAACAGCCAAACTCACTCATAGTACGGAGAATTCGTTCACGGACTCCATACAAATTCGACTTATGTCAGTTTAGTTTGCTGCCAAATGTCTTTGCTTCAAACTTAGAAAGCCTTTTTGGTTTTTGGAATTTTTACACCAGTATACAATGCACCAAATATTTTATTTCTTCTCAGTTTGCGTATCTATAATTGACTCCTGAACTGTGTGTAAGGAATTGTGTGTAAAAACAAAAGCAAGTTTCCTCAGTACGAGTGGCCACTCAGGTGGTGAGTCCCCACCAAAAGGGCTTGTTGCTCAAGGATTTGTGACAGGCGATTGGACGGAAGTCATCTGTATTCTTTAAGAATTGTCCCTTTTTCTCCCCAATTAAATTATGGGTCTTCGAATTCCGTCAGTCTTTGCCATTCTCTATTTTAACCAGTGCTGACAAGTGTAGAGCACTTTAATGGTTGATTCTTGCAAGTCCTGAACATTCATTTTCAGGTCTAGTGTTGTAAAAAGATATAACCCAAACCTGCTGCCTTTGTATTGATTGTTACTCCTGGGGCCCCCATAGGCCGAGGAGAACTTCTCTGGAGGTTTCCAAATCCGTGGATCTTCTGGAAGCAGTTTCCTCATTCTCCTGCCCAAAGGCTGGTGGGTTCAAATTGCTGACCTTTACTGAACAGCCAAGCACTTTCACCACTGTGCCACGAGGGACCCTGTGGCTGTACACAAACCACACACTCACTGCCACTGAGTCAATGCCAACTCCCAGCAACCCTTCCAGACTGCCGCTCTGTATGGGAGTAGAAAGCTCCGTCTTTCTCCTGTGGGGGTTTCGAACTGTGGACCTTTCAGACTGTAGCCCAAGACATAGATGTACACAATGTGTCTGCCACTATGGCTTCCATAGCTGTATGGGCAGCACCCAAGTAATGTATTAGGAGTTCAAACCAACCGAGAAGATGGCGTCCATCTCTTTTGGCACTCACGGCGACACTAGTCCTGCAGCACCTCTCTAGCAGGAGTCCACCCTGGCTCTGATTCTTCTCTTGGGTCTTCAGTGTGCACTCCCTCCCGTATCAGCTGTTTGCTTTGAGGCCCCTACGTGGCCACAGAAGGAACCCACTCAGCCTGAGATGTGATCCGGTGCTGTGGTTACGACCCAGGTTAGGAACCGCCATTCCCACTTCTCCCCTGATGAAGCGTGGGCTTGCGAGAGACGACAAGACAAACTGGGGCAATGCCTGTGGGAGGGAACCTGTGAAGGAATTGTGCAAGTCTTCCAGGGAAGAGCAGTGCAGGGAGACCGAGGGCGAGGCAGCCAAGGTGCGAGGACAAGAAAGAGTGCAGGCAGCTGTCTGCAGAGCGCCGCCAGGCAGCCTTCACAGCAGTTCTGAGTCTAAGGTCTTCCCAGGGCCAGCCTCAGTATCGCTGCCAAACCCCGTCACTGGTCGCTGCACGGTCCCAGGACAAAAGCAGGCTGGGTGTTAGGTACAGCCGCTGGGGCCCGGGCCAGTCCCCTCCTCTGTATTCTGCCAGTGCTGGAGGTCTGCGGCAGCACCTCCAGGTGGGAAAAGGCCTCCGTGCCACCAGAATACAGCTGCACCAGAGCAGCATGCTGCCAAGCCTTCCTCAGAGAGTCCCCAAACTTCTCCCTGCCGCACAGTTACCAGAGGGGAGACAGCAAACATCACTAGAATACTTAACACAAACCCACCAAGTTTCCGCACCTTTAAACAATGCACCAAGTATTTTATTTCTCTCAGTTTGCATGGAATTGACTCTGAAAGCACTTTTAAAAACACAACAGAACACTATTACACAGAACCCTACACAGAAGGATTGCTTCTGTCTCAGGGGATTAAATCATATAAGATATTAGAAAGTATTTCTAAGATAATACGTTTATACATTTCTATATAATGATATGCCTTAGTTTGATATTTTGCATGTGCATTTTCTTTAGCAGATGATTAGTGCAATATAATGTCCCAAGATACATAGGGCACTGTTAAGAACTATGGTACATATGAAAAATAGTTAACTCAAATTCTGTTTATGTCCATCTTAAAAACACAAAATACTAGCACATTTGCGATGAAATTCTGTTTATAATGATCCCTTTAATAAGTGACAATTGGCCACTGCCTTAACGAGTCTGTGAAAAGGGTTAAGTATACTTTCTTTCACAGGGAAAAAAAAAGAAAAAGAACTGCAACAGAGATCAACCATCCAGGACACATTAGGTATTGCTTTCCACTTAGATCACACATTAAATAGCACTACCAAAAAATGTGGTAGTCATAAAAAAACAACAAATAAAAACAGAACTACCTCACCTCGACAAAAAGCGAGCAAACCCAGGGTGTCCACGCGCTCACTTGATTCGACAGCCCTCAGTGATTCAATAGCCCATGCCATCCTCAACCCATATGCAGGTTCATCCAAGGAAACGGAGCCCTTTGCAATCTTCTTAAGCGCTTTAACAGACTGTATTTTTGACCAAGAAGCACAGTGGGTAAGAATGTGGGCTGCTCACCAAAAGGACAGTGGTTCAAAGTCACCAGCCACTTCACAGGAGTGGTAATTCTGCTTCTGGAGACTGATGGCAGTTCTACTCGGTCCTACAGGGTCACTATGAATCAGAATTGAGTCGGTTTGATTTTGCTTTTTGTAATTCTGATGAACAGAAGTGGGATGTAGAAAGGACAAAAAAAATACTGCCTGCCTTACTGAACCAATTCTCCTAGGCCAGCTCGTTCAAAGAACACATCTCCCAGTGTGACCACACAGGCCTGTGTAACTTACCTACAGAGCAGCCAGATTTCCAGTCCTCCTCCCGAGCACCTGGAGGAGCCCTGACTGCACACTGGGTTACGGGCTGACCTGCTAGCCCCAAAGCTCAACAGTGACACCACCAGCCACTGCTCTGTAGAAAGATTCGACCTTCTGCTCCTGTAGAGAGACGGCCTCAACAATCCAGAGGGGCAGCTCTGAACTACAGGGTCTATGAGTCAGAATCAGCTCATTGGCGGGTGCTTGGTAATAAGTATTTAAGATACAGCCCTAGATAAGCATTAAAGTCTTTTAGCTTTTAGGAAGCCAGTATCTGGGACTATGGTACTATTGAATTTTTCATTATTTCTGAGTCTTGAAAAACTTAAAGTGCAATATTTTAATGTATCAGCAAATTATAATCATGCCATGCAAGTTCATCTTGAAAGAACATGTAAATAATCTTCAACATTTTGTGAATGCTATATTACATATATTATAGAATATCTTAATGTTTGATTGGTCTATAAATCTTTATATTATAATGCAAAGAGGAAAACTAAGTACCAATTAAGACGTTTTAATTACAAGAAAAACAATGTTTTCATGAAGATAAAATGGGAAACGTCCTTTCTTCCTTTGGGGCTTTTCTTCAGTCAAGTACCAGCTTTACAAAATGTGACCTCCATTCAATTATTGAACAAACTACCCTAAACAACAGTGTCACACCGTCCACTATTTGTCCACTGGTAAAAGCCCTCAGAGAGCAAAGGTGAGCTCAGCTCCTCTTTCACCATCAGTGAGGCCCACTGCGCCTGGCTTTACAATGTTAACATCCACGAGAACCTCACTCTGAATATGGAGTCGCATCTCTTTGCAAGCCTGGCCCATTCAGGTGACAGTGTAGGAGTAAAGAGGAAAAACTCCCTTTCGCAAGATAAACAAGTGATGGACAGGCAAGGCGGAGGGCAGGCTCTCCCGTGGCAGCCGCTCACGTGCACTGGGAGCAGGGACTAGTATGGTAGCTGGGGCCGTAGAAGCTTCAGGGATGACTGCTTCACTAGCATTTTCTGGTGTCTCCTGGACTGCGCATCTTCAATGGCATTATGCGCTCTCTGTAAAAGAAGGTCATTGTTAACAACGCTGAGAGGAAACAAGCTCATCTGGTGGGGGAGAGAGGTACGACAGCAAGCATTTGCAGAATATGCTTGTTGGGACTCCACGCAGAGGCAGTCATCCGTTGAACGCCAAGTAAAACCCTCCTGCCTCTGCGTTTAAGCTCCTATGTCGACAGTCATCGTGGAGGGCGTGGGAGAGAAACAGCAGTACGGTGACCTGAACAGACTCATTCTGTTTCAGAGGGCAAGGAGTGGGAAAGGCAAGCTGGGTACCTTGGCTGTGGCGCTGTCCCGCAGATGGACCTTCCGGAGACAGCTTTGACCGGCACCGTCCTTTCTGTGGAACACGCTCTGATCCTGTTTTGAGAGCAAGGATGACAAATGGAATGATTCTTAGAAAGTGTGAAATCACAACCTTTAATTAGATGCTTAAATGGCAATTCTATTCCACAACCAGTAGACGAACCAAACACACATATGCAGAAATGATGCCAAAGAAATCATTTTGGTACAAGGTAACGGTTCCATATGTGACTTGCTAGAATTTATGAAATTGGATGAGTACACATCTCTCTGTATAAAATAATGGCTTTCTGCCCATTATGATAAATGCCTACAGAGATGCCACTTGATAGCTCATCCATTTGACGAATCAAACAATCCTTCCTTCATTTCCTTGGCTGAGAGAGGAAATTCTTACGTAATGCAAAATACAGAGTCAATTCTCACCACTCGGGCGAGAGGATGGTGAGAGCCGAGGAAATGTGGCCCTATGCAGTGATGTCATCTTTCCTGATCGGAAGACTGCGCTTCCTACACCAAGACACCCTTTTAAGAAACCCCCCCCCCCCACTTTGATCGTGATTCGGATAGAGTTTACCACGCAAACTGGGTTCCGTTCAGCAACTGGCCCACGCTTTGTCTCACAGCACTGTTTGCAGTGCTACACGTGATCCCCGTTTCCGTTCAGTGACTGGCCCACGCTTTGTCTCACAGCACTGTTTGCAATGCTACACGTGATCCCCGTTTCCATTCAGCAACTGGTCCACGCTTTGTCTCACAACACTGTTTGCAGTGCTACACGTGATCCCCGTTTCCATTCAGCAACTGGCCCACGCTTTGTCTCACAACAC